TGCACACAGGCAACACCAGTTAGTCCTAAAAAGAAATGCCCTCATGGGCATTTATTTAAAAAAAATTGAATACAAGCTATAAAAAACAGATACTAAACATAAGTGGTATTTGTTCATTGACTGTGTGTCAGTTCTGCTTGTTCAGTAGAAGTCTGCATAAAAACTCGATTTCACATTCGCCTTTTCACCTACAGTAGTTATTTCATTCCTCCAGTTACATCCATCACCTGCTGTGCCCGTGTACCATTGAAGCGCCTATTAACAGTATCAAATTGACCACAAAGCAAAGCAAAGACAGGCTGTGAAAACTAGCAGAAGGCACCTAATGTAAAGCAGCTAAAGAATCTCTAGCAGCAACATTCATATCTACTTTTCTTTTTCTGTGCAATCCCCCCTTCTTCTTCTTCTTCTTCTTCCCCAGATTTCACCTCTGACAGTCTTGCCCTAGATATTTCTCTATCCCTGTCAGACACACTTGCAGGCTGCCAGCTGTGGAGGAGAGGACGTGGAGATCAGCGCAGATGAGAAGTGAAAAGGATGAAGGGAAACCAATCGATCCAAAAACCTCCATCCTAATCTTGTTGACGTCCTCAGATGGTGCAGACAGGAGCCCTGGAGCAACTTTGGGGAACATATTAAATCCAAAACATAAATAAATTTTTAAAAATGACTTTTTTAACCATTTCCTGTGTTGTTTTTAAACACAGCCAGTATTTGAGCTTGAGACAACACAACACGGGGACGGTCTTTATCAGCAGTAAATGCTATAAAACTTATGAAAATACAGTTAAAAGTCCACAAATCAACCCCTCCTTCACATTTTATGAAACAATTCAGTGGGCCGGATTGGAGTCCTTGCTGGGCCATAACCCAACTGTGTGTGTGTGTGTGTGTGTGTGTGTGTATTTTATTTCCAGACAATCATTGATCACTGCTTTGAACTGCACGCCCTTGTTATAGCAGTTCTCATAAAATATAGGCTATGAAATCATTTGCAGTTCAGTTGTGAGACACAGAATTTAGCAGTAACCTTGAGAAAAACATGTGTGTGCATACATAAATTGGTTGCGTGCGCTTAAATGAAGCTTACAGCCCCCTCAGCCTTCAGCTAACTAGAAGTCTTTACAGCTTAGATTGTATTCTATTGTATTTCATTGTATTGTGTGTCAGGACATTGACAAGAGTGACAAAGACGTGATGAGATGAGAGGACAGATTGGGGGGAGGGGGGGCTTTCTGCACAATTTACCTCGTTTAGACAAGATGCAGAGGCAGAAGGTGATTGAAAACATTAGAGACGGCGATAAGATGGAGAAAGAA